TGAAACAATAAATAAAGAAAAAAAAACAGAAACAGAAACAGAAACAGAAACAGAAACAGAAACAAAACAACAAAATGAAGATGCAACAAATAAAACACAAAACCAACCAGACTCACCAAGCAGCTCTGCTGCCACTTCCTCTGTGCGTTTCTTCTCTTTTAGTTTTTTTTTATTGTAATAATAAATTATTTTAATTTATTAAATTCATTATTCATGTTTATGTTTAAGGAAGCAGCAAATAGATATTCAGGATCCTACGATGTACGCAGCAGCTATAGCTTTCTCTTCTTTTTCCTCTTTTTCTTCTTTTTCTTCTTTTTCTTTCGTTTTTTTACCTCGGCGTTTTTGTGTGTTTAACTGGGTTTTATTTCTCTTGCAAATACACAACACCTTAAACCCTAAACCCTCAACCCTAAACCCTGAGCTCCAGACCCCAAATCCGAACGAAACCCTAAACCCTAATCCCTAAACCCTAAACCCTAATTCTCTTTACGGTGGTTCATCTACCTCAACGCATTTCCCGCCATTCTGAATTAGTGATCTTTGTGTTTTTATTTAAGTTGTTTTGTTGAGCATCTTTTGCTGCTATTCTTGCTGCTTCTGCTGCCTCATATGATATTACAGAGGAGGCAGCATGAGTCTGTATGGCTCTAGGGTTTAGGGTTTAGGGTTTAGGGTTTGTGGTTTGTGGTTTAGGGTTTAGGGTTTAGCGGGTGCAGTGGTGTGTTGTTTGTTTCAGCGGGAGGACCCGTTGACTGCNGGTTTAGGGTTTAGGGTTTAGCGGGTGCAGTGGTGTGTTGTTTGTTTCAGCGGGAGGACCCGTTGACTGCTACAGTTCGCAGTTTAACGGATGAGTTGCATCAGCAAGGTTTGCTTTCTGTTGCATTAGATAAGGAGTTGTATACAGCTCAGCAGCAGCTAGAAGAAGCAGAGGAGGCGAACATGAAGGTAGTAAGCCGCCTAGCTAGCATCGTAGCAACGGCAGTGAAACAAGAAAACATCATCATGCGCTCCAACAGCCAAGTTCAATTCACAGCAACAGCAGCAGCAGCAGCAGCAGCAGCAGCAGCAGCACAAGAAGGAGTTGATGTGCAACATGCAATAACCCGAGAAGGATATGATGATGCCCTCCTTCAAGCATCAAAACTAGATAAACAACTACAAGCGATGCAACAAAACCTACAAGTGCTGCTGAATAAAAAAGAAGAACAAGAAAAAACACAAACCGCTAAAGTCATGGAGTGCAGGAAGGCATTCGGGTACAAAGAAAACACATAAAAGGAATATCTTCGTTCTCACTCTCGTAGCCGAACCCTAAACCCTAAACCCTAAACCCTAA